GAATATTTTCGCGATAATATTCGGCATTTATTCTGATACCACGGTCGATTAATACGGGGAGCGACCACACCATCACCATGGTCGGCGCTTGAGTTCTAGTGGCCAACCGAAGTTGCACATTTTCAGCAGACCTCTTTGGCAAGTAAACACGATCAATTTGTTTGTTTACAAACTGCTGGTCAATGAATGTTTTCTCATCGGAGAAAACCAAATTCGGCAGTTCACCACTTTCGGCCAAGCGAAGCAACTCTTTAGCTCTTTTAAATCTATTGCGATTTTCTTTCTGTTGCGGTATAAGTACTTGCACTTTTTGGAATTTCAATTGCTTTACCCCGAGATCATTTTTCAATATTTGCCGAATGGAATATTGCGATATGTTCAGCTCGCGAGCCATTTTTCGGCCACTGCGACGGGGGTTTCGATCAAGTCGGTTCGAATAACTTTTTTCTGGAAAATTTTGGTGAGAATTTTGTAAGCTTCTAAACAATATAATGAGCTGCCACTGGAATAATTTTACGAGCTGTCGGACGAGTGGCTTAGAAATACAGCAGTATATCATAGAAAGCGAAGGAAGTCCCGATATAGTTCGAAATTGGAACGTATACACATTCTCGTAAAATGTAACATCAATGTCAATTTTTTCCCCATCTTTCTGGTACCTCCCACACAAATTGGAAATGTTTTTCAAAACACCATATATTTTCTTAAAATCTGATAAGACAAGAACTAAAATATTTGGAACAGTATTAGACCAAGTATGGCAATATCGACGAACTCCTACTCTACCACAGAGCATTCATTTTCTGAATAATCATGTCATAAAATCATTTCACAAAAAATGTTATGACTCAACAACTTCCTCAAACTTTCCACAATTTTCTCCTAACATTAGATCCAGTTTGAAGCTGTGGTCTACTCCTTCAGGTACCTCTCCTTCTTAAAGTATATATAAATAAATGGTCATATTCTAAGGTTTTATATTTGTTGGAAACCCGATACTTCCCAATTCGTTTTATTTTGTTTTCATTTCGGAACACTGTGTATGACTTGCAGATATATTATATTAATTTAGTTAGTCTAGACGATACCTTTAAAAATATTTTTATAATTATAAAATATTTCCAAAAACAATGCTCAATACGGAAGTTTATGGCGCGATTGCAAGAAAGCATTAATCGCACAGATTTTTATTTTCATTAAGCGAAACATGTGTGTACTTCTGTTCAGATAATATTTATGTACGACATAGGGACACACCCCCTTTTATTTGGCTATTCAATACAATGTTCAGTTTTTGGGCAGTTGATATTGATTAGAGACACAAGGGACTAAAATGGTACTTTCTCACGAGTAGTACCTATTTAAGATATTTCTTTCATAGTTTGATATGTCAATATTACCATAACGATTATTTTGAAAATTTTTTTCGAATTTGTCTCATTACATACTGTTCTGGATGTGCAACCCCAATAAATTATAAGAATTATAATGAATTTTCCATAGAGATGAGTTACAAAATAATTCGTTAAAGACCCTAAAAATTATTTACAGAATTTTTATCCTCCTGAGACTTCCATTTTTCCTCATGAATAAAATAACTTTTTAGTTTATTAATCATTTTCCAAATTAAAAGATTGAATTCAAATTGCTATCAATACAATTTTATAATGTAGTACTATTTATCTGATATGGGGGAGTGTATAACAACAATACCAACAAATACAACGAAAATCATAAAACCGGTATACTATAGTTGTTAAATCAGAAGTGTATTCATCTCAATCTCAAAACAACCGGCGATCAAAGTCCAATACTCTCAAAAGCAAAACAAACAAACAATATGGCCCAAATAGTCTCTGATGCAGCCATCAACCAACAATTTTTTCCGCCTTGAGGAGGCAAATATCGTCAACAACAACAGTGTCAAGAAAAATACTACAACAGCTTGGGGTATATAGTTCGCATGGCAAATGGCCAAAACTTTTAGAGAAAAAGAGAGGGCGAAAGAGAATATAATAGAGTCTGAGTAAAGAAACTGTTGTTATCAAGAGGCTGTGAGAAAAAATTGGTATTTTGGGGAGCGAAAGAACTTCGGTTAAGATCTCACAAAACAAAGTCCGCTGAAAACATTAAAACCTGGAAATTTTTCAAAATCTTGAATTCGTAAAAGCTGCAGATTCAAACCCATTTAATCAAAATTTTCTATGGATGTAACAGTAACAAATTCTCCATACAATTAAGGTCCTAATAAAGCTATGTATGAATGAAAAGTACTTTCGAGTAAAGATTTTGAAAAAGGACTTCTCTCTATGGAAGACTCATATGAAGATTTATTCTCTTTGGTGGGCGTATAGAAGGCCTATAGAACATTTGTTCTTTGTGAAAGACTGACAACAGTTTTTTTACCTTAGGAAGATCCTTCTTTTCTCAAGATTTAGACCTATTGAAGGCAATCTCCCTACGCATTTCTACTATAGATATATACAAGTTCTTCAATCTACAAACGGTCTTTATAAAGTCTTTTCTCTAGCGAAAGCCTGTAGAAAGTTGTCTTTCCAGGGAGAGGGTCATATAAGGTTTTCTCTACGAAAATGTCTACAAAAGGACTCCCCTTTCCCCTCTATAGATGATATTCTCTCTATGGAAGACCTATTTAGATCTTTAAATAGGTCTTCAATAGATTTTTAAATAGAGAGTATGTTGTATTTACATCTTCTATTGAAGATTAAAGACCTTTAGAGTCTCTGTTCTCTTTATGGAGTACCTATGGAAGATCTCCAAAAAAAATATTTTTCCTATGTTAGACATATAGAACATTGTCTCCCTAGAGAACCAAAAGAAGACATTTTCTCAACGGAAGAACTAAAGATGATCTTCTCGCTATGAAAGACCAGTTGAAGGTATCACACGGAAGGTGTACGCAGAACCCAATAAATGTCTTCAATGCCTTTTGTAGACATTTGAAATTATTCTCGCCACAGAAGGGCTTCCTATCGAATGCCTACGGAAGCTCTATGGGATATGTTTACACGAAATTCTTTCTATTGACCTGTTGAAAGACTTCTCTCTATTAAAAATGTATAGAAGTTCTTCTATCCACAGAAGCCATTTTTAAAATCTTCTTTTAATGGAGGACCTGTAGAAACATGTAGAAAATATTTTCTCTATACAGTACACGAAAAGAATCTCGTCTCCAACGGAATAGCTATAGAAGGTCTTTTCTGTATGGTAGACTTATTAAAGGGATGGTATGTAAGAAAGACATTTTCGAAGTCGTCTATCTATGAAAGACCTACTGAAATTATTCTCTTTACGCTATCTATTTAAGATCTATAGAGGTTCTATAATCTACAGTGGGAAATTAGAAGGTCTTCGGACTAAGAAGACCTACAGAAAATGATTGTCCTATGTAGTATTTATTAAAGACCTACACAAATATTTTCTGTATAGAAGATCAACAGGAGGTCTTGTCTTCAGGGAGGAGCTACAGAAGGTTTTCTCGCTTTGGAATGCCTGTAGAAAGTATCTCCATATTGAACATCTAAAGACAGTATTTTCTCTATGGGAGACCTCAAAAGATACTAGAACTTTAAGGTCTTCCATAGAGAGTAAAAAAAGCATAGCTGCGGTATTCTATCCATTAAACACCTATAGAAGGACTTCTCTCAAAGGATGACACATTAATGATCATCTTTCTATTAAAAAAATTATACATTGTCCTCTTTCTACGTAAAGCATATAAAAGGCCTTTTCTATATGGAAGACTAAATAGAAGGAAGGACCTATAGAAATGTTTCCATTTATAAAATACCCAAAGGGCGACAGCAGCTCTTTTCTCAATGTAAAACTGATAAAAGGTCTACCTGCCACGGACCTATACAAGTTCTTCTATCTCTGGAATGCCTTTTAATGGTCTGCTATCTATGGAGTACCTATAAAAAGTCCCCCCTACTATTCTCTCTGTGGAAGTTCGTCGTTCACAGTGGAAGGACCTATAGAATCCCATTTCTCCGCGGAAGACATATTGAAGTTTCTCTCTCTATTAAAGATTTATGAAAGTCTTTCTCTGCGGAAGGTCTATAGCTACACGTCTCTGAAAAAAAAACTACAAAAAAGGGGGTTTGAAACCAACGGGAATAAGTTATTTTTCCCATGACAGACCTACAGAAGGTATGTATGTATGTAAGACGTAGATTTATGTTTTCTTTCTAGGGAAAACCTAAAAAGTTCTTCTGTTTATAGGAATAGTATGCCTCTCTATAAAAGGCCATATGGAAGACCTACCGAAAATATATTCTCTATGGAAAACCTGTACAATACATTAACTTTGTGAAAGGTCTATTTAAGTCCTTAAAAGGTCTCTCAATAAGACATATATTTTAGGCATTATCCATATAGAAGGTCTATTTATTATGGAAAATTTATTGAAGGCCGTCTTCCTTGTAAAATGGTATTATCTCTATGAAAGACTTACAAGACAATATAAAAAATAAAGGGAGATTGGAGGAGGTAGATTTTTGAGGGAATTGTCTTTTGTGTACAGGTAAGTGAAGTTCCTATCGAATTGGTTAACTTCCAGAATTTGAAATTCATTATGGGTTCTATCTGCTTTGGCAGATTTTTTTTTAAATTCCGAGTTTAGATTTCGTATGTTTTTCTAATCCTGTAGCAGAACAACTTTTGTAGCCCCATTTTTTATTTGCTACACACAAAATAGCCAATAAAAAAATTCCTATTAATACTTTTCCTATCTGTATTCTAATGATAGAAACACGAAACAAACAAAATGGTAATCAGTACAAAGGCCATAGTTATAATATATTGGCAACATACTGTATAGTATTTTCAAATAAACTCTTTATAAAAATTGAGATAAGAAACGGAAAATAAACAAAAAATGTCTCACATTTTCTTAAAAACTCACGAGATGCAGAAAATAACGAGAGAGAGAGGAGAGATAACTCTCCCAAGTCACATATATAAATAAGGCACGCGACGTTATACCGGTTAGTACAGGTAGCGGTGTTCGATGTAAACATCCGCTCGACTGCTGTGATGAAATAAATGGTTTCAGTGTCAATTTTATAACCATAACAGAAACGCGGTGTAAACGGAAACCGGTTGCCTAATGATTATTTTATAATAGATATAAAATCCCAGTTGTAAAAGTTATTACCACCAAAAAAACAAATAGGAAAGTGTTAAAAACATAAAAGATGGATTTACTAACAATCAACAGTTTATCGTTGATGGGCCTTGCCGTATTGGCCCTATTTCTGCGCTACCTAACAACAATTTTAGAATTTATCCGTTTGATAAAATGGTCATCAACCGTACCAGGACCCTCAATTGGTGAACTAATGGAAAATGCGAAAAAAGGACGTAAGTGTTGCCAAGTGTAAGATTGAGTGAGGAAAAAAAACGAACACAATAAAATATATATTGTGCGGAAGATAATGATTGCATTATGGACTTTTGATCAGCTTTAAGATTAGCTATGCAGTAGATAATGACGTCCACAGAAAAACGGTTTAATAATAAGATGACTAAGGAGACTGAAGGAGATAAAAGGGAAAGAAACATGATAATGAGCAAAAGTAATTACTGATTTAATCAATTGACCAATAAGTGCGGATGACCTTAAACAACATAGCGTTAAATCAAAACTGTAATATTGTTAAGGACATGAAATTAAAAGATGACAAAATATCAAATACTTGATGTCTAAAAAATTAAAAAAAGTATATTTAAAAAATCTACCGTTACAATTTATATTGGTATTTCAACAATATTATAAAAAAATCGCAAATATGTATCTGACATACCTTTAATTAGATCATTAGAATTCGAAAAAATAATCCTTCAAAAATATACGTCTTCTGCGACTACCAAGACCATTATGGCACTTCTTAAGACCCCTTAAAACCCATTATCACAAATTTATTGAAGTTTCGTAAAAAAAACCTTCAATGGTCTTTGGAAAAATGCTCTTAGATATTAAAAAATAGGTTCTCCTAAAAATAATTTTAAAAGAAATAAAAAAACTTTAAAAATGTATGCTTACAACGTTGTTTAAAAAAAAATTAAATAACCAGTGGAACGAATTTGGAAATTTTCAAAAAATAAAATCCTTAAAAAAATTCTGTTAAAGTTTTAAAAATACCGAATATAGCCGTTATATTGGGGTCTATACGACGTGGACCTACATAGGAATAGGCATTGTTTGTCATAAGCCATTACCATATTAAAATTTGAAAGTTGAAATAAACGGTGAATAATGTAGCTAAAATCACAAAATATCGTATATAGGGAAATACCGTTATATAGGAGCTGTGCGAAGACCAGCATAGACAATTTTCTGTCACAGGCTGTAGCATCCATTACGAACTTCAAATATGACATCTCAAACAATTTCGGCGGGTATTGTACCTAAAATCGTCAAAATACCGAATATAGGGAGGTACTGATATATGGGGCCTATACGAAGACCTGGATATACATAGATCCACATTTTCTGTCACAGACTGTAGCATCCATTACGTACTTCAAATGCGACATCTCAAACAATTTCGGTGAATAATGTAGCTAGAATTATCAAAATACCGAATATCGGGAGGTGGCATTATATGGGGGCTATACAAAGACGTGGACCTGCACAGAAAATTTGAAACAATTCTGGTGAATAATGGCGCTAAAATCATCAAAATACCGAATATCGGGAGGTACCATTATATGGGGTCTATACCAAAAAGTAGACCTACATGACCCATTTTCAATACCAAAATTCCTGCAGACATAATATACATTTCGAGGTGGTACAAACGGAATGACAAACTTAATATACCCTCCAAATTATGGTGGAGTGTATAAAAACAAATAAAAAAGGATTAGGTTCAGCGGGCCGAACTTTTAATGCCATCCATCAAGAGTTAAGAAAGCCTTTAAAATTAAATATAAGAATGTTATATTAGAACGAGTTGCATTTTTGCCAGCGAAATCGGTTAAAGCATATAAGTTCTTAAAAATACAATAAATACGATGGGTGGTACCGATAAATTTGGACTTATAGGAAAATGTTGACCTTTATAGACAATTTTCTGCCACCGTAGTACTTATTACGAACTACAAATACAGTATTTAAACCATGTTTTAGAAGAAGGGGCAAAAATCGTTAAACAGACAGACGGACAACAGACGGACATTGCTAAAAAAAAGTGAGATTTTTAGGCTGATCTAGTATATATGAATACTTGAAGGGTCTTGCGGGATTATTTCTAGGATTTAAACCCTCCATAGTAGGGGGAGCGTATAAAAATCACAAAACACACGATTCTGCATTTATAGTCTTTAGAAAAATTAAATGGAAAAGTTAATGGGAAAGTAAAATGAGTAATTAATTTATTCGCCTAAATATCTCAGCAATTTATCTTTCTAAGATTTGCCTTAGAAAGTTTGCCTAGACTTATCAAACTCTGGAAAACCTACCTATCTTCCCATGAATATCTTGAAATTGAGGCCATAAGCATTGAGTCGAAGTAGTAGACTCAACATCGACTCCTGATTTATTTCATATTTTTGATATAATTCACCGTGCAACAAAATTCAATTTTTTTCAAAAATACAGGACAACGCTGTTCATTAAAGTAATGCTAACAAGTTGATTATTTATAATGGTGACCCTTTATGGGGGAGGTACCAGAAGGATTGTCTGTTATATCTCATCTCCACACCATATCTTGAGTTGGTAAAAGTATTTGGATGTCCTCAGTTTAAAACTAATCTGGTTTTCATTTCGCATTTAAAGAGCGTTAATGGTACTCAACATTTTGACCCGATGTAGGGAGATAACAGAAGGAATCAGATAGGAACTTCGTTTCTTTCCTCCCCATATTTCCCACATTGGATTTCAATGAATACCGTTCTTTATGTCTACCACTTCCAGATTTCTATTGGATAACTATATACATGATGATCTTAATGGTTTTTGGTTACTTCGTCATATATTTTGTCACTTTACCAGAGTCATTACAGGTATCAATCTTGTCTACTTTTGCGTACGATATCGCCCCTTTCCAATTTCAATTTCTTTTTCAGTCCCTTTTTCGTGTATACAAAATATTTCTGGGAAAATCTCATATTCGAGATTATTTTGTAATAATCATAACTTTCACTTCAAATGAAACGATTGCCTAAAGTAGCCTCCACACAAGTGGTGGAAAAAATATATTTTTTTTGGGTTAATCTTTAGTTTATGTAGTTGCTCTCCAGATTCCAAAGCTGAGCTGAATTTTTTGCATGTTTGAGCACCAACGGATCCTCGAAGTTGTCTTAAAAGCATGGTACTTGATTTGATCAAATAATTAACGAACCTCTTTGAAGAGCTTTGATCTTCCATAGATCCGAGCTTTTTCGACGCATTAGGCGCATTCTCTTCTGTGTAACATAGAATGTCGTTACAGAATCCACGAGCTTCAGAGACGATCTTGATTTGGTAAGCTGAAAGCTTTATCAAAATGCTTCTTTATATCCTTATCCTTACTGGTGCTTCGAAGAGAGTCGAAGGAAAGTAGAAAGATTTTTTGCTTTCCTGTTTTTTGGACTTCCAGATCATCTGATGCTTTCTCCTTTTTTCATAAAAGCAAACGACTAAGACGAATTCAATAATAATTTGCGAATCAATGAATCGAAATTGATTTTAGTCGACTTTGAATTAGGTTCAGAAGTATATAATTTGGTCCAAACTTCGTACATTGTAATATTTTTACAAAACGAAGATCGAGTTCGGAGATAAGCACTTCTTTTGGTAGAGATCATCAATTTCAAAGCAAATAATTTTCCTCACAGAAAAGGAAAGATTAGTTTTGAAAATGGATGATATCGAACTTCTCCTTGTAACATAGTGTAATATCATAATTCTCGTGAGAAAAGATTCGTATTGTCTTCAAATTTTGCATATCCCCATATCTCAATCTACACAGGATCTGGCATGAAAATGGGAATGGTGCGGAACACTTCTCATTTCTCCCCCACAAGCGGTCAAAATTTTGAATAACCAGACACTCATAAAATGCGAAATCAGTATCCGATTCCTTTTAAATCTGGCATATTCTAATATTTCTGTCAACACATGATCTAGTGGGGAGATGAGATGTTGGGATCCACTTTTTTACCCCCACAAAATTTTAGACTCAAAAAAAAAATAAACTCAGAATTTATATAGAGTATAAATTCCTTCATCCAATGCCAAATATAGGAGCATTGAGTAGTTTTCGTATCAATATAGGACGCATGTACAAAAGTATGTCTCAAACAAAGGTACCATCAGTAATCTAAATAATAAATTTCAGAATATTATCTATATTCCTTCACCCAATACTAAATATAGTATTATTCAGTACTTTTCGCCCAATTAAAATACATATTTCCGAAAACACCTCCATATTTATCCAGGCTACACATGAATAGCGACTTTAATACCGAATTTCAGATTTAAAGCAGTATCGTTTACGTTTTGTACTTTTCGTGCTCTTGTAGTGGACATTTCCAACATCAACTCTTTATTACAAACCTACTACTAACAGGGACCCCAATACAAAATTTCCAAATTCAAACTACATGACCCTAGTCCACATTTCCAAACCCTTTGGTGTATCTATCCCTAACTCCATCAGCGACTCTCATGAAAATTTCAGCTCTTTCTGTTTGTCCGATACAAAGTATTAATTTTTTAGTACATTTTAGTACTTCCGTAACCTTTTAGTACGTATTTCCAAAAACCCAACCTTATAACAATCCTACGCAAAATTTTCTAGTGCATTCTCAATTTTCGATCGTTTCGTTATTATTTAATTCATTTATCTTTGTTGTTTTTTTTTTTTTAGAAATTCTCAATTGGTTCACAGAGTTGCGTGAAAAATACGGTCCAACATTTCGCATTTGGATGGGCCGAGATTTACTGGTGTTCTTCAGTGATCCGGAGGATGTGAAACAATTGTTGAGCAACAACAGTCTGTTGCATAAGTCGCGAAATTACAGTAGTCTGGAGCCTTGGTTGGGAAAAGGCCTGCTGACGAGTAGTGGTGAAGCTTGGCACCGACGCAGGAAATTGTTGACTCCCGCTTTTCATTTTCGCATTCTAAGTGAATTCAAAGAACCCATGGAGGAGAATTGTAAAATTCTGGCAAGTCGTCTGCGAGAAAAATGCAATGGCGAGGAGTTTGATATTTATCCGTACATCACATTGTTCGCCTTGGATGTCATCTGTGAGACGGCAATGGGTATTAAGAAAAACGCTCAAATGCAATCACAGTCGGAGTATGTGAGAGCGGTACAGAGGTAAGGAAAGTGGTTGTGTGGGGTTTAAATTTTGGTTTATTATATATTTGGTTGCAAAAAGGAGTTTCGAAGTCAAAACGATTTTGAATTATTTCCTATAAAAATGTACAAAGAAAAACTGGAAAAGTTTGAAGATTTTTGGAGAAGATACGTCGAACCCAATTAGGGGTGCCTTATTTAGATATTAAATACTCCGACTTTAAAATGAAATTGAGATAACAAAACAAGGAATCGAATTCGAAGCTATTTCTTTCAAAATTTAAATTTTTAAATTTTCCAAAAAAGATTTGAAGTAGTAACCCTACCCCATTTATTTCTAAAAAAATTCTCAAAATATCCATTCAAGATCGAGAAGCATATTCTCAATATCGCATCTTCTTATAGAATCTGCCACATCTTGCACACAAAGGCCTTCTCGTTTTGGCAACGCACGAATCCCTTCTTCAAATACACCGAACCGGGACGTGAACGTGATGCCTGCCTTAGGATACTACACGACGAGACGAATCGTGTCATCAAGCTACGACGTAAAATGCTCGAAGATGCCAAGATACAAAAAATGGCCGACACGGAAAATCTTCTCGACAATATTGGAAAGAAAAAACGTTTTGCCTTCCTCGATATGTTGTTGATATCCCAAATGGAGGGGGTGGATCTGACAGATCGTGAAATACGCGAAGAGGTTGATACATTTATGTTTGAGGGCCACGATACGACAAGTTCGGCAATTGGTTTTGCCATCTATCTGCTGTCACAACATTCCGAGGTGCAGCAAGAGGCCTTTGAGGAATGTATGATTTTGGAGGGCAATGAAAAGGAAAATATGCCATATTTGGAAGCGGTAATCAAGGAGACGCTGCGTCTATATCCCTCGGTGCCGACCTATGCTCGTTATATCACCGAAGATCTGCAAGTTGGTAAATTAACCTTGCCCAAGGGTTCGAATATCAGTATTATGACTTATTTGACACAACGCGATGAGAGATATTTTCCCGAACCGGAGAAGTTCGATCCCCAAAGATTTTTGCAAAAGGACAAGGAACAACATCCCTTTAGTTTTGTGGCATTTAGTGCGGGGCCACGTAATTGTATTGGTAAGTGAGAAAAAACAATTCAAAATGCAAAACAAATCGTTGGTTTTGAAAACGAATTTCGAACTCATTTTGAAAATTAAATTTTCAAATTTTCATTTTGAAAATAGATTCTTAATTTTCCTTCCGAATCTAATTTTAGATTTCTAATAAATATTTCCTTTCTTTATTTTTTTTTTTCTTCCAGGTCAAAAGTTCGCCATGTTGGAGCTGAAATGCTCCCTGTCATATCTCCTGCGTAATTTCGAATTTTTACCAGTCAAAGACTTCAAACCCAATGCCTTGCCCGAATTAGTTACGAAAAGTGGAAATGGTATCAAAATTCGCATAAAATCGCGTGGCAATTGATTTTTTAGCTTTTAATTAGCCGTAGTTTTAAATTTTATTAAAAAAATAATAATTAAGTAAATATAGAAAAATTTTCCTTAATTAAAATTAAAAGATTGTGTTTTTATACCCTACAACACTATGTATTATAAGGGGTATTATAAGATTGATTGGACCAAAACTTGTGTGACACCTCGAACTATTGGTTTCCCACATAGGAAAGTACATAGGGATCTTCCTATCTCGCCGAGCTGCGTCGATCTAGCTATGTATGTCCGTCCGTCCGTTTGTCCATGATAATTTGTAATCACGCTACAGGTCATAATTATGGGCCGATCCTCACGAAATTAAAAATGGAGGTGGGGCTAGAGCCAGAATAGAAGCCTATTGCTTTTGGAGATGATTGGATTGGATGATTTGGACCAACAACTGAAAAGTTTATTGATTTTGCAGTTGCTCTACAGGTCGAAATTATAGACCAATCGACGCGGAAGCTAGCATGGGACTACAACTTAGGGCTGGGCAGATCCCTTAGAATTTGGATGGTCATCGGGTAATATTTAGTGGGTGAAATAGACCATAACAATTGTGTTAAACAAAATCACATTTTCCATTAAACCGCGAATATTTTTAGTCCCGGCGAAATCACAAAAAGACGAACAGGTCAATTCTGCTGATAGTAATTATATCGGATATATATAGCGAAATATATACAATGTGTATAAACAAAGTAAGGGGATGTTAGCTAAAATAATTATATCTCAAAAATGGCTGTACCGATTTTGACTAAATTTGTCAATTCTGAATGCTCTCCTGGCATAAGAGAATAAAATCTAAAAAAATCGCATAAAAATATGCCAATAATGGTGTTTATACAGATTTTGCAGTATTTTGTGACATTTTTTTATTTGTTCATATTTTTTATCGCATGCGATTTTTTCAATTTGACTTATAATATTGAGGTGTACATTTTGTAATATTCTTTCACCTTACAACGCAGGTTGGGGTTATATACATATTGCAATTATTATCCGATCCTCACGAAAATTTTCACAAGGGTAGGGTAAGGCTCAGAAGGGATAAACCTATTGGTTTCGTTGTTGGGCAAATATCCCTGGTCAGGTCAGTGCTCCGTGACATAATTTCAAAAGAGAAATCTTCCAAAATCGATCTGAATATAAGGGGCTTCTAACATATTGTAGTGTTGTAGGGTATCACATGGTCGGCCCCGCACGGCTATAGCCTTTGCTTACTTGTTTATAAATCAAATCGGATAGAAAAAATGATTACATGGCTATTCTGGATATTTCTTGCTAGGTAAATGCAAAGGTAGGAAAGGTATATAGGTCAGTTTTGACCCCTTATATCAACCCTCAGGCCATAACCAATTTTGGATTGCAATTTTAGAGCGAGTTTACAAAACCTCTGTGGTATATATGGCTAAGGAAGGGGGGGGATTAAAAATAAGTTTGCAGTCAGCCATGCCTTAGCATTGAACCAACACGGATAACTTCTCCTGTAAAACAGTTTGTAGGGGTGTGGTACCCAAAAGAGACATAAGGTTCGCAGAGTGGTAAATTTTGCACAGCTCGCCAGGTTTGGTACAAAAAAATGAAGACTATGATTTTTTTTTTAAAATTTCGACCGATTTTGGAGAAAATCGAAAGGTGTGGCCAATATTATCCTGACTTAATTCTAATACAACAACTCAAAAAGTGTCAATCGGTTTTGCCGAAAGATGTTTACCCTCAGACTGTATCCGGTAATAAAAAATATATTTTGACTTGCGGGATGATTTTTCTAAATGTTGAATATACTTCCTACACTTTGTTTTGAACTTTTATAGGAAGGTACCAACAAGAATGGACCGACAAATCCCATATTTACATTGGATCCATGATCGATAGAAATGTTGTGATACACAAAGTTTGGAATAATTCAAACTTTTTACCCCACTTGGTGGAGGTATCAGAAGAATTGGGATGGGACAAGTTTGAAAAATCGGATGTCAATTTGAATTTTTTGAGGAATTTGGCCTGTTGTGGGGGAGATACCAGAAGGAGTCAATCAACCAATTCCATTAAAGAATCAAGCCCATCTTCACACCAGACTTTATGTTGTTAGAATTATTGGTATATGCGAAATTTTTAAGACAATCGGATTTCTTTCAAATTTTACAAGAGTTACAATTATTTTAACCGTTTGTGGGGGAGGAACCAAAGGAGTGCTCCGATCTATTGGTGCATGCGAAATATTAAGACATTTCAACATTCCTTTCAAATTTTATAAGAGTTACGATTATTTAAAATTGTGATAGTTTGTGGGGGAGGTATCAGAATCGGTGGTCCCATATATCCCATCTTTATACCTGACCTCCTAAGGGTAGAAATATTGGTATGCGCGAAGTTTAAGATAATATGCAATTTCTAAATATACCAAATTCACATGAGACTTGATTTTGCTGGAAGAAATGTTATTATTGAAGGTTTGGATTACTTTTTAATTTTGGTGAATTTTGACCGTTTGATGGGGAGGTGCCGGAAAAATTACGCCGATTGAAGTTAATTACACGGTGCGACTTTTCAGTCAAGTAGGATTCAACCATCGCTTGATTTACATTTGTACCAGAAAAAGTGGACCTATATTGTCCTTCTTCGCACTCGATCTAAGGATAAAAAAACGAATTACCATTTTTTTACAAAACCGTTACTCCATTCGAGAGTTGCCGTGCACACCAACTAGTCAAACAGACCAGCAAAGACAGGGTGTTAAAATGTTTCCATAAGGCGCATGTTTTACAGCAGATATTGTTAAGCTGCCCTCAGACACACCAACAGTTGGCCCAACTTGTGACAAGTTGGTACAACTATTGGTGCGTCTGAGGGCTAGTTGTACAACTTTTTCGAAAGTTGGTTGAAGTTGGTTGGAAATATCAAAAATTTTTGATCATTTCGTAAGTTGGGCCAACTGTTGTTGCGTGCGAGGGCAAGTTGTACCAACTTCAGTGTTTTCTTCATTTATGTCTTGACTTTGGTGAAGCAGCACATACATAAGCTGAGCGCTGAGCGCAAGAAGAGAAACGAAAACAAAACATAATCATAAAACAAAACAAGAAAAAAACTAAAATAAAACATAAATAAAAATGAGTGATTGCGAATAGGAAGCGTCACATTTTTTTCTTTAGCTATTTCTTTCTCTGCAGTTGTCTTTCTTCTTCTTCCTCTAAAATTATATCAATTCCAAGTAGCGCAAGAGCTTTGTAAATGAAAAGTTGGTACAACAGTTGTATGAAAAGTTGGTACGTGCGAGGAGACCGACCAACTTTTTCATACCAACTGTTGGTGTGTCTGAGGGCAGCTTTATATACGGTCTGTAGCGATAAGGCTCAAGCAACACAAAAAACAAAAACAAAACAAACTGTTATAAAGAGGTAATACTCATCTGGTACGAATCCACAATATACCCTCAGGCGCGAATATAAAAATACAAGCATATGATGATATATATATTCTTCCTCATGAAATTTAAAGAATTATAAAAAAAAATGACCAGAAAATATTGTAGAACGCCAAAAAGTTTTCTCTCAAATGTTCCAAAGCCTTTCCCATAGACCACTAGAAGGTAATTTTTATGTAGGCCAAAGGGTATTATTTTTAAAGACTAAAAGATCTTCTCTAAAGTGACAGACCTTTTAGAAGATCAGAAAATCTCTATCGTAAAATATTAACAGGTCTAATTTTATAGGACCAGAAATCTACTTTCGAAAGATCACAACTTCTCCTTTTAGAAGACTTATAGAAGACAAAAGAGTCTTTTGAAGACCAGAAGGTCTTCCTTTGGGGAGACCAAGTAATATTCCTTAACGAGGCTAGAAGATCTTTTTTCAGAAGGCAATAAAGACTTATATTTATAAGAGTTGAAGGTTCTATTTAAGGGGACCAAAAGGTCATCTTTTTGAAGACCATAAGGTCTACTTTTAGAAGACTGGAAAGTCTTTTTCAGATGACCAACAGAAGATCTTCTAATATTCCTCTTAGAAGAACCAAAAGTCTTCTCACAAGGTCCTTCTCTTAGAATACCAGAAGGTCTTCTCATAAAAAACCCGATGGTCTTCTAATAGAAAAACCCAAGGCCTTCCCATAGACCCGAGGAAGGTCCTGTCATAAAATATCAAAAGGTGTTTTTTTTTTAGAAGACCACAAGGTCATCTAGAAGAACAGACGGTATTCTCAATACGGTTTTCTTTTAGAGGACCAGAAGTTTTATTTTATTTTATTTATTTATTTATTTTTATTTTTTTTTTTATTTATTTTTTTTTTTTTTTTTTTTTTGAATACCAGGAGGTGTTCTTTTCGGAGAGCGGAAGGTTTTCACATACAATATATGAATTCTGTTCATACAAGAAACGGAGGTTTTCTCATAAAAGACTAGAACATCCTCTTTAAAGAGAATTTTAATAGATGACCCGAATGTCTTCTCCTCTCAAAGGAGAATCGAAAGTCTTTTATAGAAGACCTCAAGGTTTTCTCAAAGAAGATTAGAAGGAAATTTCAATAACGATTCGAAGGCTTCTCAAAAGGCCAGAAAGTCTTCTTATAGAAGACCAGAACACTTCTAATAGTAGACCAGAAGGTCTCTTATAGAATACCAGTAGTAGGTGTTCTCAGTAGACCTTCGGGTCTTCTCAGAGAAAATCCGAGGGTATTCTCATAAAAGAAACGAAGGTCCCCTCATAAATGACTAGAATGTCCTCTTCTAATAGAAGTCCCGAAGGTCTACTCAAAAAAACCCGAAGGTCATCTCAAAGGAGATCTGTAGGTCTTTTTATAGAAAATCTGAAGATCTTCTCATAGAAGATTAGAAGGACATTTCAATTATGATTCGAAGGCTTCTCAGAAGGCCAGAAGGTCTACCCATAGAAGCCAAGAACACTTCTAATAGTAGACCAGAAGGTCTCTCTTGGAAGACCAGTAGTAGGTGTACTTATAGAAGCCCCAAAAGTCTTTTCATAGAAGACCCGAAGTTCTTCTAATAAAAGACCAGAAAGTCCAGATGGTCTTCTCATAGAAGACCAGAAGGTCT